GTCTACCTTAGCAAAGCGCTTGGCTATTGGAACCAGCCAAATAGGGATGGTAGTACTCGAATGATGTAGTATTAATATTCCTTGGATCAAATCACCCTGCCTCATGACGCACTGTTTCTATCTTTAAAGGCAAAGCTGGCATCTAATCAGAGGCAAACAAGGGCAACAGGTGGTGTACCAACCAACTTCCTCTTGTGCTGAAAGAGCTGACATTTCTAGGGAGAGTGTAGATGTGGGGGTTTCTGATGATGAACCTGGGGAAAGCCCTGGTGGTAGGTATTTCTTGATTATATTTCTTCATCAAGGCTCTGGGAGGAAGTCCCAGTGCCTTGGGACGTCCTCCCCATGTGAAAGGCTTCAAACAAATGTAATTTTGTATTGTATTTTGTATTATGACATTGCATGATTGCTAATGTAGAATCATAGAATCCTACAGCACAAAAGAGGTTGATTGCTCCACCGTGCCTGTGCTGGCTCTTTTGAAAGAGCTATTCAATTAGTCCTACTATCCGTCTCTTTCCCCATAGTCTTGCAATTTTTTTCTTTTCACGTATATATCCAATTCCCTTTTGAAAGTTATTATTGAATCTGCTTCCACCACCCTTTCAGGCAGTCCATTCTAGCAATTCGCTGCGTAAAATAAATTCTCCTCATCTCATCTCTGGTTCTTTTGCCAATTATCTTAAATCTGTGTCCTCATCACTGGTGGAAACAGTTTTTCCTTATTTACTTTATCAAAACACCTCAAAATTTTAAACACCTCTATTAAATCTCCCTTCAATTGTCTCTGGTCCAAGGAAAACAATCCCATGTGTGGTATTATGATGTCTTGATTCTACAATGATTGTGCATAAACTCTTCACTGTACAATATCTGCAATGATATCAGGGTATTTGTTGCACAGCATAATATCCAAATGTTGCAGTAAGCAAACTGTGTGTGCGCACTTGTAGTGATAATGTGTCATCTGCTCTCTCTGTAAGTCAAGGAATACTCAATACACACTACATGCCAGGAACACCAAACTCCCAACAACTTCTGCCATTACCACCACTGGAAGCCAGCGCCGGTCCAGAAACATCCACAGAAGGAGATGTAGAAATGATGAGGAATCAAATGGTGAGTCACTGCGCACAACTGGAGCAGTGTGAAGCGCGAATGAAGAATGAATAACAGACAACTTTCTGGGCAAAAGCCCAGCAGGTTGAGGTGCCCGATACTTGAAAAGAATGCTGGTATTGAGTGAAAGCCCTGTGAAGCCATTGCATTATATAGAGAATTTTTGGTTTTGGGACATGTACCGTGTGGTATGGAAGAGCCTACCATAGGTTCCATCTCTTAAACGACTCATGATATAGAACATCAGTTGTCTGTAATGGAGAGTTCTATTCCAATACCTTACACCTTAAAATTTTTAGCGAGATGTCACAATGATTTTATTTTGATCAGCTGGTGTCTGGTACATGTGGAAAACCATCACCATGCTTAAGAGTATCCAAACCAAACTGAGACTTCCATGCATCTCACCTATACATGGAAGTTCCCGAGATATTTATTGGAATGAAATGCACACTCTCTCCCTGGAGGAACATCCTGCTTACCCAATTCCGGACAGTTTTAGGCGCAGGTTGAAGAGGAAAGGTCGCTGGAGTATAACCAGCTAAACCCACACAGCTTGTCATTGAAAGCAGTTGTGGCTATGATAAATTTCCTCTTAGAGAGTAATAAGAGACTGGTGTGCACTGTCTCGGAGAGTCACAAATGAGAAATTGGTTGAGGTATTTAAGAGAGAGATGGATATACACATGAAGTGAGAAAGTGGGATGAGAGGAGCATGTGATTGGCCACAAATTGTATGGCATGAAATGGCTTGTTGTGGAGTGGGCATGTTGAGCTGAATGGCTTTTTCTATTTCTAATTTCTTGTGTGTACAGATCAACAGACAGAGATTAAAATTTTGTCAGCAATGCTCCCATTACAGAATAATGATTAAGTTAGGTATCAACATCAAGGGGTGAAGGTAGGCTTTTACTCTTTTGGTGCACAATTGCAGTCATCTGTGACAGACAGGTTCAGAAATTTTACAGTAAAATGGGCTGAGTAATGTATGCTACTGCTTTGAGGGGATGGTAGGAGGAGCGTTCTGGAGGGATGAGATCAAATGGGCCAAAGGACCTTCTTTGTCTAGACCAATCTTGTGATCCTGTTCTATCTATGGTGAATTCTGGGTTCCCTGACCCCTTACTTCTCTTCCTCCATATAATCCTCCACTGCTGGCAGCTCCCGCATCTATCAGTTCTTCAATATTTTGTCATAAGCAGAATCACTTCACAAACTCACATCCAAAATCAACACCATCAACCTCACTTAAACCCGTTATGAAGTGATGCTACATACCCGATCATTTATGTACTTTGTCCAATGCAGAATTTCAAATGCAAACATGTTTAATGGCCATTAACAATGCCTCAATAATGTCAATAAGCCTGGGTACATACTGTATTTGGGTACACAGAAGATATGCAGGAATTTGAACAGGCAGAGCGTCAGGAGTAGAGTAATAATAATCTGGTGGATTGTTGGCCCCGACTCTGGGAGCTGTGTAAGTTTGGTTCAGTTGGTAGTACCCTCACCGGTGAGTCAGTTTGTAGGTTCAAGATGTTGAACTCATATAGTCTAGGCTGACACTCCAATGCAGTGCTGGGAGTGTACTGCATTGTTGGAGCTCCTGTCCTTTGGGTAAAATGTTAAACTGAGCTCCTATTTTACCGTTCTAGTGGACAATAAAGATCGCCTAGCGCTATTCGAAAAGAGAAGGAAGTTTCTTATGGCGTTCTGCCCAACAATTCTTAAAATTGATTACTAACTTCATGGCTATTTGTGCGACATTAATATGCATTAATGTGAAATTGACTGCCGTGTTCACCTACAGTTACTCTACTTTACAGAAGAGTTCAACCATGCCAATTGCCTATTAAGTGCTCCGAGACGTTACCCCATGTGAAGGGTGCTATATAATAATAATAATAGTAATAATAATAATAATAATCCTTGCATTTGGTATAGCGCTTTTCACATCTTCTCAACGTCTCAAAGTGCTTTACAGAATATACTGTAAAGTGAATTGACCGTATATTTGTGGGCGAAACGCCGCAGCCAATTGCGCACAGCAGTGTCCCACAAACAGTTGTGGATTAGAATGACCAATTTATTATTGTTTTGTTTTGGAGGGATTATTATTAGGCGTGTGGAGTAAGGAAACTTGCCCAAGGTTTCGCCTTGCAAGATGTTGTTGCAAATTATTGTTATTGTTACATCCCCTTTCTCCCTGGCTCAGCATCAAACTCTGCCATTGTTCAGCGCTCTGAGACGATACAACCCTGTGTGAAGGGCGCTATGGAAATGCAAGTTGCTGTTGTTGCATCCTGATAAATCCACAAACAGCCATGAAGTGAATGACCAATTTTACCTTATTAGTTTGTTTTGGAAAAAAAGTCTTAAAACGTGGTGGGAGTTGGTGTGCGTGTGGGGGGAAGAGGGCGGGTGTTCATACTAATCGATTCCTTCCTGAATAGCGGGGAAGGAGGGGAAAGAAAAGATTCATAAATTTACAAAAATTTACAAAGAATGTGCAGCACAGAAACGGCCACTTGACCCGATAATAATTATTGTTCCATTTGATACAGCACAGTTAAGACAGCTCAAAGCACTTCACAGGATATGCCGTGAATTGCATTAATTGTGTATTTTGTGGGCGAAACATGGCAGCCATTTTGCACCCAACAATGTAGTGAACCATATAGTGAGTGCTGGTGTCCGTGCCAGCGTTTATACTCCACGAGTCTCCACCTATTCTTTACTCCTTCTCTCCCATACCCTTCTAATCCCCTCTTCCTGTGTCAAGATCAAGCTTTCTCTTAAGGAAGAGAGAAAGAGGTGGACACAGGAATGGGCATTCCATTCCAACAACCTGTCTCTGGGGTTTCCATGTGTAGGTGGGATGCATGGACATTTCAGGTTGGTTTGGATTCCCTGAAGCATGGTGATAATAAATGTAGCAATAGTCCTTGCATTTGATATAGCGCCTTATCACGTCTTCAAGACATAAGAACATAAGAATTAGGAGCAGGAGTAGGCCATTCGGCCCCTGGAGCCTGCCCCGCCATTCGATAAGATCATGGCTGATCTTCTGACCTAACTCTAATTACCTGCTCTATCCCCATATCCTCTAATCCCTCTGTTTTTAAAAAATCTATCAGTCTCAGCCTTGAAGACAGATATCTCAAAACTTAACTTGTTATCTTATCTTATGGTGATGGGTTTCAAACGCCCAGCAGATCTGAATAAAACACTGTACCCCTCCCTCCTCCCCAATTCCACCCCTTCCCAATTTCCCCGCTCCCCTTTCCTCAATTCCCCTTACCCAATTTCCCCTTTCCTCAATTCCCCCTCCCCAATTTCCCCCCTTTCTTCAATTCCCCCTACCCAATTTCCCCCCTTTCCTCAATTCCCCCCTTTTCCTCAATTCCCCCTACCCAATTTCTCCCCTTTCCTCAATTCCCCCCTACCCAATTTCCCCCCTTTCCTCAATTCCCCTTTTCCTCAATTCCCCCCTACCCAATTTCCCCCTTTCCTCAATTCCCCCCTACCCAATTTCCCCCCTTTCCTCAATTCCCCCTCCCCAATTTCCCCTTTCCTCAATTCCCCCTACCCTCACCCCAATTCCCCCCTTTCCCCCCCTCCCCATTCCCCCTCTCCATTCTCCCCCTTTCCTCCTCCCTCCCCATTCTCCTCCCTCCCCATTGCCCCCCCCCCCCCACACTTTCCTCCTCCCACCTCCCTCCCCCCCCCCCCTTCACCACCCTTGTCAATCAATCAAGTCGGGTGGAGCAAGCCCACGCGGGGCCGGGAGGCGGGGCTTTGCGTGCGCGGCGCGCTGACGCGGCGCGTCGTCCGACGTCACGGCGCCGCGGCGCGCCGGCCGAGCTGCCTGCGAGACTCACGCCCTATCGGCAGAGAACTAAACCGAGATGGAATCTCCCAGTCTGAACCGGTTAAAACCGGTTACGAGTTTTGCCGGAGACGCTTTCGGGGTTGCTAGTAGAACACGGCCCTGCTACGAAAACGGTGCGGAAAAAATGAATCGGAAGCGATAAAAGAGAAAAAAAATCATTTACGTGTATTTTAATAATAATATGTGAAGGTGTCCGTTTCGAAAAAAGAACGACAAATCGTTGAGTGAGTGAGTGAGTGAGTGAGAGAGAGGGGGGGTGGGTGGGGGGGGAAAAAGTCAACCGGGCCACACTTTTTTTTTCCCCTGCGGCGTGTGTGTGTTTTTTTTTGTTGTGTGTGTGTGTGTTTTTTTTATTTGATTTTCTTTATCGCTATTATTATTATTATTATAATAATAATAACAATACCCAAAAAAAAACCCCAAAGGAAGGAGTGAAGAAAATTGGGTTTCCTTTTTTTTTCAAAAAAAAATCTCTTCTCGATTTTTTTTCTCTCTCTTTTTTTTCAAAAGAAAATTAATAACCGGCGCGGTTCTTTTTTTTTTCCACCCCCTCCCCCCCCCCCCACCAAAAAAAAAACCCAAAGAGAAAACGAACCGAAATCGAGAGGGAGTGGAGAGAGAAAGTGTGAGAGAGAGAGAGAGAGAGAAAGAGGAGAGAGAGAGAGAGGAAAAAAAGAAAAGAAAACCAAGAACAACAAAAAAAAATCCCGAGGAGAGAGAGGGAGAGAGAGAGGAGTGAGTGTTCCAAAATTGTGGGTCGATGTAGCGCAAGTACTCTGTTGGCTCTTTGCTTTGGTGTATTACCTGTCTTTAATAGTGCTAATGTGTGACAGTATTCCTGTCCTTCTTCCTCTTGCAATTTTTCAACTCGGGACTTTTTATGTTTTAAAAGAAAAAAAAAACCCGGAGGCGATGTTGAGCGTGTGTGCTTGTGTTTTTTTTAAATTCCCGCCATTTGATTTCTCTTCCCCACCCCCCTCCTCCTCCTCCCTCCCTCCCCCCCCCCCCCAAAAAAAAATCCCCCTCTCTTTCTGTCTTGTGTATTGCACTTTCTTTAGTCTCTCGTTTTGTGAAAAAAAACCCCGAGCTGTGCTTGCTTGTGCCGAGTGAGAATTGCGTCTCCTTTTTTTTCTCTAAAAAATAATATAATATATATATTTTTTTTAAAAAAAGCCTTTGCCTCGAGTGTTGTGCTGTAGTGTAGTAAAGTCGTTCGTTAGCTTCACCGGTGCCTCTCTTGGGTAGTTATTGGTGGTTGGGGTGGGGGGGGGTAGTGGAGGGAAGAGGGAGGACTGGAAACTAACCGTGTTGTTTAGGTCAGTTGTTGGTAAAGTCACTGTGTTTAACGTGATTGTTGCTGTTGCTCCGCCGAGGCCTGAGACCTTGTGGTGGTGGTGGTGTGGGTGTGGGTTGGGGGGGGGTGGGCCTGGCCTGACTTGCCCTAACGTGAACAGCTCACTCACCACACTGTAAAGGGCGCTGAAGGCGCCACCTTAAAGACGGCGGCGTGTTTACTTAAGGGCAGAAGGCGGCTGGCTGATCGCTGGGCAGCGGGGAAGTTAAACAACTTTTGTTCCCACTCTTTTCTCCCCCTCTCTCTCTCTCTCTCTCTCTACCGCCCCTTCCCTCGAAAGGCTTTTGTTTTAGTGTGTGGGTATATACACACACACACACACACATATATATATATTTTTTTCTTCATATATGCATTATACTTTATACTTTTTTTTTGGGGGGGGGGGGGGAAAAAAAAGCCCGACTCGTTTTAAACCGCTCGAGGCTCGGCGGCGCGCTGCTTTCTGCCGAGTTGTGTTGAAAATGTTGCTGTGGAACATTCCAGAAATAACGGCCGAGACTTGTCCGCAGTGTCTGCCTGGCTCACGTGATGATTGCGGGCCGCGGCGGGCGGGCGGCGGGGCGGGAGGGCGGGAGGGAGGGGGGGTGTTGCTGGCGTGGTGGACGGTGACGAGCCCACAGGGCTCCCCTCCCCGGTTTACGTCGTGAAACAGGTTTGAAAGCGAGAGGACCACAATGAAAGTGGCGGTTCTGCCCTTCCTCTTTCCCGCCCGTACCCGCAGAGTTCGTGACCGAGAAGCGTAGATTTAAAAAAAAAACCTTCGAGGTTATTGTGGAAGTTATCGTTGGTTTTATTCAGCTCTCTGTTGTTTCAGCGCCTGGTCTGTTTGCCCTTTATGAGCTGATTTGGGGATGTTTCCAAGAGGGGAGAGAGAGAGAGAGAGAGAAAGAAAGAGAGAGTTCGGGACTCCTGTGAGAGCCCCTAAAGCGTCACAAGTGCAGCTCCACTCAGGTGGCCTTTTGGGAATTGGGAAACCAGCAAATGTGATGGCGGTGGTGGGATTGGCAGTGGTGGGATTGGCAGTGGTGGGATTGGCAGTGGTGGGGGGGGAAATTGTCTCAAGAAATGTGGTGCGACCGGGACTGCGGTTTACGCGGAAAACCGTCAGTGGTCTGGATTTTTGAAAACGACACTGGAATTGGCGACGCAATCTGTCACCAGATTCGTGCCTCGGATCTTATCTAAAGTTCTCGTCCGTGCTCTTGATTCAAAGATTTTTTTTTCATACCCGAAAGCCTCAAGGTATTACCTGGCTGGGATTTTCCCAATTAATATTTCCAGTGGTTCACAACACAACTTATTTAGAAATCTTCAGTTTTAGTTGCAATACCAATAAGCTGCATAGAGTTCAGAGCTAAAGTAATGGGGAGCTCTAATGATTGTGGAGGTAACATAAATAAGCTAAATATCATTGGTGATCATACTTTATGTTATAGATTTGATTATATAATAATCCCTGCATTTGATATAATGCCTGATTATGTTGAGACGTCTCAAAGTGCTTCACGGAATATACTTTAGAGTGAAGGGACTATATTTTGTGGGCAAAATTTTGATTGATGGTTTGAATAATTTTCAATGTGTTAAACCTGCCCAATAATTGTTTATCTTGAAGGTCAGTCTACTTGCTTTTTCCCTCCTCCCCAAATATTCTTCCTGAAGATATTCTTGTGCAATATAGTTGCATATGTGCCAGTCTTGATATCCAGTCCAAAATGCCCATTATTAATAAATTCAACTAGGGAATGGGCAAAGGTTGCAGTTGAGCAATCCTGTCTAAATTCAATGTCCTCTCACACTCTTCCAGTCAGAGCCACTGGATAGCAGGTCTTCCTAACATGGAGTGAAGGAAGCCAATTGTAGTTACCAATATTGGTGAGATCAGTTATGTCAGTGCAATGGTATATTTTTGTACATACTTTTCACTTTTAATCAAGAATCTGGTATTCAGAAATGACTGTGGTTTAGATGAGTATTCTTGATTCCCATCCTTCTGTTTAGGAGTTGTAGTTCCTAGACAATGTATGATTTGAACATAGTTCCCGTTTGTCTTTGTTTCTATGAGATATTTAATTACTCGAAAGCTATGAGAAAAATTGTGTTTTACCTTTGCCAACTGATTAATGGTTACTGTCTAGATATTTGGTATTAGGCTCATTGACCCAGGCAATTGGCCTGGATTTGACAGCAGTTTCAAATTTGCTAACTAGCCAATGTAATCACCTCTACCGAATTGAATGCTGTTATTCATTTATAGAGGGTGGTTAGACTGTATAATGATTTTTGTTGATTACTACTGTGGTATATTTTCTAATATTTTGTAATTTATTTTAATTTGTTTAGGAATTACAGCAAGTTTTTTTTCTTGCAGTAATCTATGCCAGCCATAATGACAATGTTAGCAGACCATGCAGCTCGCCAGCTGCTGGATTTCACTCAGAAGTTGGATATAAATCTTTTAGACAATGTGGTGAATTGTTTGTACCATGGAGAAGGTGCACAGGTAAGAATTAGTTTCATGCAATTATAAAGAGTTGAAACTATTTCCTGATTCTAATCCTAAATTCACTAACAACACATTTGCATATATTATGCAATGTACATAATGTATTTGTATACATCAGCCTTTTCGGAAACACTTTAGGGTAATTGTGGGTGTGTTCTAATGTACTTCAGTATCCCAAAGCATGAGCAGGGAAGGAAAATCGACTGACGTTTCTGCAAGTGATTGTTCACTCCTGGTAAAAGTGTTTATGTTGGGTGAGGACAAGACTACCATCGAACTTATCCTATAGTCTGCTGATATTTCATTCTGGTCTTGTGTGCAAAAATCAGCCATTTTATCGAGGTCCTGTAGGTTTGTTGGTGCTGCCCATTCAGTTATAGCTTTGCATGTTCCCGTAGCCTTGAGGAAAGGAGTGGTAAAATTTGGAGAAAGAGAGGCCCAAAGCAACGTTTAGTTCTAGTTTTTTTTGTGTATTTCAAGAATACTTTTAAAATTGTGATAAGCGAAATGAGAAGGCTTGTAATTCATTAGCTGAAAAGCAATATTTTAAAAATAGGTGATTTAGGCATCAAGGTTATTTAAAAAAAAACTTCATAGCAATGCAAACTTTGTCTTTCTGAAACTGTTCGACAACTAGTTACCCAGAATGATTGATTCATTACAAAACATAATGGGATCTGAAAATTCATCAATGAAGATCTGTCTTATTCCTTCCTTATCTCCTATCTAAATATTGTCCAGTGCAGGATAGTTTTTTCTGTACAGTAGCAAATTGTAGGTAAAAAAAAGTTGCTTTTAAGTAGGCTTGAAATCCATAAGAGCATAGAGTGATATTGAAAAATCAGAGTTAATTTGAAATTGTTTGTGTTATATTATCAACTCGGTAATCTGAGAAAAGAAAGTTGCATCTCTTATTCATCCTGGCAGAATGGGTTTAGATGCAAACAAGGTTGAAAGGTGTTTCTGCTCATGAGATCGGACAAAGTTCAGGTAATGGACTTGTATGGACAGCTGAAGAAGTGATGTGAAATAGTATCATTCTAGAATGCGTTGAGTATGTTTCTGGTGTTATTTGTAAAATATTGGATAGCTTATTGCTTGTTTTATAACATTTAAAAAATATATCTTGTAGTTTTTTGACTACTTAACAGCTTTCAAGGGATCATGGAAGAATAGTCCAATTTACAATTGCACCATCTAGGTTTTTACTTGGTGAATAGAACATCTCCTGAAGTCATGTTGTTTGTGGAGCTGAGTCTATCGTGATTTGAGCTCACAAGCATGACTATTGCTGAATTAATGTCAGCCCCAATTTGCAATTAATACATTGGAGCCCATTTGGAAACTTATGTTGTTGATTCACTTCTCTGAAGAAAGCTGATTTCAGCAGGGATGCTTCTTGTAGTTCTTGTTGTGAGTAAGGTGTTTTAAGAAATCTTTATTCAATTTAAAGTGGATTTAAAATAAAATATTTTTAAGGTTAAGGTTTTAAGATCCATGTTTCTGAAAGTGCCGTTAATGAAAAAACATTGAGATTATTATTGCCTGTTAGAACTGGTATATCAAGTCTCTGGTTGTCGAATAGTTCTTTTAAAAAATAAAATAACCTATGTGAAGGGTCAAGGAAAACAAATTTGCTTAACATTAATTTCTGTGGACATAATGGAGAGCAACTGGTTAAAGATTCACCAGACATTCGTGTGCTGCCTTTATTAAAAAAAATCTTTCTGTAATGCTTTGACGTTTTGCTGTGTTGATTATTTTATAGTAGTCTTAAATATTATTTTAAAAAAATCAAATGATTAGAAGCTCTTTGTTTCCTGTTAGCAAAGGATGGCACAGGAGGTCCTAACTCATTTAAAGGAACATCCTGATGCATGGACCCGAGTTGACACTATACTGGAGTTTTCACAAAATATGAACACCAAAGTAAGTGTATCTTTCATTTTAAGAGTCTTAATAATATGAATCTTGAATTCCATAAACTTTAGGAAAATCAGTTATCAACCTCACAAACCCAAACTATTTTGGCACTGAGGTTCTGTAGGAATTTGTATGGCAATACAGCGCTTTCATTAGTATGAGCTGATATACTAAAACAATTTTTTTTAACTTTGTTGCTATTAGCAACATCTCAGTGGAATTTATTTTGCCAGCTGATGATCAGTTCTGGTATAGGCAGAAAACTTATTTAAAGAGATGGTAAAATTGTGGTGGTGTATGAATTTTTGGGGGATTCAGAAATGTTGGACAGTTGTGAATAAGCAGTCTTGTACGAAGTGAAGTTTTAATTACATTTTTGGATTGGCTTTTTCACTACAGTATTCTACCTTTGGGAAGAACCACCACAAATAGTGTTTACAGTATGTTTTTTGGGAGATTTGTTTATCGTCCTCAGTGTCAATGTTTTTGTTTGTAAAAACATTTTGTTTGTAAATACTGATGGTTCACTTCTATAATTTTTTTTGCTAGAGATCTTGTACAAAAAAGTAGGAATTAGATTTTTACATACCTATTATTATATTCCATCAGTTTGGCAAAATTTACTAAATTTTGATACAGTAGGTCTGATTTATGTAGTACCATTGTCATCTTTTGAACACAGTTATAGACGGTGTTTAAAAGGTTGAATACTGTTCTTGTGGGATTTTCTCAACGTTCTAACCTAATCTAAGAAAGGGTGTTTGCCTTGTTTGCTTAACTGTTGCATTGCTCTGTTACTGACAGTTATTACTAATTTTTAAGCTGATTTGTCAACAGTATTTGTAAAACTCACAAAATTGTATCTTGTGACAAATGAGATGATTAGAGGAACAGAGAGAAAACTGAAGGTAAAGAATCTCTTGAATACCTAAATTTACAATCATTTGGTGCTAAATTTTATGCACTGACATTTGGCTTTACTCAGTTTTATGCAATCATTTTCTTTTTTTATTAGAACTGTTAATGCTACTTGACATTAATCATAATGTTCCATTATGTTGATTGCTTGTAATAGGAAGAAAAGGGGTGTCTTCCTGTGCAACTGACACAGCTAGGCTTTGACGGCAGGCCTCCACAAGGTCTACCCTTTTGATTCCCTTTAACTGAATTCTGTTCATCAATGGTTTTGTTTTAAGGGGAGGGGATAAGAGGTATGGTAACCAGGCTTTGAGAAAATAACAAAATTATATATATTTGTGTATGTATATAGAGATATATGAATTATTTCTACTGTAGGGATCAGTAGTCTTATTTCTGGCTTTTTGTTCTTTACTTTTACCTATTCTTTCTGTTACTCCTGTAGCGATAGATAATCTTTGAAGTTAAGGAACTTTATGACAGTAATTGTTTCTGCTTCTGACCTGAAAAAGAGAAAGCTACTATGTTTCTAACACAAATTAATTCAGTCACTTAAACTTGCCTTGTTCGATAAGTTTAGCAGACACTAATTTGTTTTTTAAAAAAACTATTGGACTAAAAATGCAATATTGCATGCACAAAACATTGAGTTTACATTTAGCCAGTTTTTTTTACACACATGTCATTAAATGTGCTTCTATTGTCCCTTTCATGTGCTCTTAGTTTTAATTTTACTGTTTGCTACTTATTTCTATCTTTAATATCTTATGCTTTCTACCAGCTTTTGCCATCCACTTTCAAAATATACTACCCACACACTTCAAATATACTACACAGAATTTTATTTCTTCCAAATTGATGCCGACTGAAGTTTCCCTTTCCTGCCACAATTCCCAACTGTCGGTCAGATGACTTCTGTCTATGCCTCTGTGGGGAATGTTCGGATTTAGCGAGCTTTCCCAGATAGTTCCCCAGATTGGGGACTCGTTTGAGAATGGTCAGGCTGTTCTGTAGTTTAGCATGTTGGAGTTCTCTCGAGCTTCTGAAAATGTGCTCATTCATGGCTCCTACTTTATTTAGATGCGAAAATTGTGTTGCATTGAGCTAGTTATGTCTATGATGTAGCCAATCTTCCATCCTTTAGTTTTTCATTAGCTGTAAACCTGGACCTTAAATCAGTTTTGCAACTAATGAAATTGTGTGCTTCCCTTTTTGAAAGTGGATGGCAAAAGCTGGTAGAAAGAGTAAGATATTAAAGATAGAAATTAGTAGCAAACGGTAAAATTAAATGAATCAAGAAAGGGACAACAGAAGCACATTTAATGACATGGTGAAAGGAAAGCCTTCCAAGTTTTTTTAAATGAGGGTTTTAGGTAAGAAGGTTAATTGCAATGGAAAAAATACCCTGATTTACAGCTTTATTAGTGCAAGTTAGCACCAGTGCATGAAATAAAAATCTACAGAACCAGTTCTAAAGAAGATTTTGAATCCGCAGGCAGTTAATGTTTTAGAAAAATTGAAGAATTATTACTCCCGTTAGCATTATTGCTAGTTGTATTTACAAATCTGACAGAATGCTCATAGATTCTCAAGTTTTTTTTATGAAAGCGGAATCTAAAGAATCAAAATCTATTGCTTTTAATCACTGTACTGTTTAGCGCTTGATGTTTTTGCTCTTTCTACTCCATAGTTCTTTGCTAATCACTTGATCCCTATGGTTGAAATAGTTGAGTTGGTGTTAGTTAAGTTAACTAACTTTAAAGCTGTAAGCATTGATGGATCCTAAATTAGTAATGATAACTGGGGAAATTGGAATCTGAACTCTTGAGTGAACCTGTGGGTTGTCTTGCTGTTCCTGACGAGCAACACCAGCTGATAAAAAGACATAGTTACCAATTGCTGGAAAATACAGGGACTGCAGGACTTCATTACCATTGTACGAGTTGACATTACTCACTGGTGTGAGCCCTGATAAACAGCAGGACTGCTTGACAGTTTGTGTTTTGATAAAATGCATTGCTTTGTATAAGCGAACATAAAAATTGCATGAAATTTTAATAATTCTCAGGTAGAAGTAATGTAATTTTCTAGATGTTGCCTGTTATAATGCATTAAAGTTTATGTGGAAATGAAAATGAAGTAGCAGGCAGGTATTTTTGTATGAATATTGATAACTTCTGAAATGTGAACTTAATATGCTCTTAATGGACATGCTACCTAACATATCTTGTCGTCATTCTAATTACAGTACTATGCATTACAAATATTGGAAAATGTAATAAAAACCAGATGGAAGATTCTCCCAAGAAATCAATGTGAAGGTAACTTCTATTCTGATTTACTCAGTTTATTGTATTTGAAAGTTTTACCCCGCCTCCCCCCCACTTCAGATTCATAGTGGTGTAAGTTGTTAGCTGAGTTCTTCAGCTCATGTAACTGATTTGTCCAATGTTAACTTTCTTATAGTTTTCCACTTCAGTGGCTTCTGTTAATGGTATTATGTTGACAGCAATGTCCAAATCTGTTTAGTCATTCCTTCCCAAGGTTGCTTGCTATATGCTCTTTTAATTTAATCCTTTCCAATGTGGAAACGAATGGACGACAGAAATGCAGCTGTATCTTCCTATTGTTTCCAACTAGTTAATAATTCCACACACTGGCCTGACACTATATTTGTTATCTTTGGAGAGGTTCTTGATAACCTTTTATTATTGTTGATGCTGGAATGTCATAGTAATGACATTTCATTACTTGTTTTGTTCATTACACTTTCAGACTTGTTTATACATCGACTTAAGTTTTCCTATTCAAATGACTTTTATGGCCTTTCCATTGCAGTGGGGATCAAAATATATTTCTATTTACTTAACTTTCCAACTACAGTAAACTGATGACTGGCTTAACTTGCTACAATCCCTTATATTTTTATATCTATATATATAATATATATAAAACTCGCTACTCTGGATAATCTGTCACAGCTCTTTTCCCTTGGAGTAACAAGTTATCAGGAGTTCACTGTATGACCCTTCTTGGGTGTGTTGTTCCTCTGATGTAATAGCTCAACTCTCTTTATCCTTCAGTAAGACTGAACTTTTACTGCAGATTTCTGTTATCTTCTCGCTGATCCCAAAGATCATCTTTGCTTTGACAGAATTAACATTTTTTTCATTTTCTTTCATCTGTAGCATGTGTTCAGGTGAATTTAAATTAAACTTTAGTTTAGTGCTAGACCAGAGGACTGAAGTTCCATGCCATTTTAGCTGGTAACTCTATTTTACCTAAAATTGTGCAGAATTGTAGAAAATTGTCTTATGTCTTAATTCAAAAGCTGATTTTCTTCAAAAGCTGATTTTCCAAATTTAACCAATTAAGACTGAATTGAAGAATTTACTAGGATTTTGTGCAATCTTATTTGAGACAAAATGATCTTGCTGTTGCGATTTTGGGCCTATGGTAATATACAGCAAGCCACATTTCTTTTTACCTTCTTTAATTCCAAGTTATGAACTATTCTGCCTGCATCATCAAAGCTGTTCTAAAGGAACTTCAATATCTGTTCGTACCTTTAAAACTCTTTCCTAATTCCGCTTGGAATTTGGTTCTTAAAATGCTATTCATCAGCTTCCTTGCATCATAAGAATACTTTGTCTTTCTCCATGTTTCTCTCGTGTTTCTGCATCTTCAGTGTGTTCATCTCTGCAGCTGCGGTCTGATCGTTTCTGCAGCTTCAGTATGATCTTAGCCAGTAGCAGATGGTGATAACTGTCAATGTCGACTTTGCTGATCATGCATCTCTCAAATCTGCCTTTCTATACTCATGTGATCTTTTTGATTCAATATTGTATAATTTGATAAGCGCTATATATTGTAAGCAAACTCTTCCACTGATGATTATTTTCTCATAGAATTTGAAAATGTGATTTATTCTCTTGTGTACCAATATCATGTACACATTTTAAAACTAGCCACTGTTGTCAGTACTCATCTTAATATTCATATTGATAAGCAGCACTAAGATAATTTGGGGAATAAATTTGGTTAAACTAAATGGACTTTTGTCAGCATTCTGAATAGAGTTGCCTCACCTTTCCACCTTTGCAGATGGAATACAGTGAAGTTTTATAGTGTGCGATCATGCCAAATGTCCAGAAGTGCTTCATGAATTATTGTCAAGTGCAGTGACTATTTCTAAGCAACTGATCACATGAGGTCTTCACTCCTGATTGTGTTGAACAGAATTAAACTTGGCTCTGATACCGCCTATGGTTAAACTCCAATATTCATTACTCATCCAAATACACTAAACACAATTCATTGGCCAACGCTGGGATGCTGTTAGGGTGGATTGCTAGAATAACGGTCACCACTCTTGACAATAACAGGACATAGCAATTTAGCTACGCAGCATGACTGAGCTGGCAGTACAAAGGTAAGTGTTTTATTTAGCAGTGGACTAGGATCAAAGACTTGTAGAGTGAGAGCGAGGTTTTGGTGGGTGGGAGGAAGAGACAGTCCAAGAGAATCAGAAGGAATGTTGTATTTCTATATTACATATAGAGGCTGGCAAAGTGTGGTAGTACAGTGACATTATAAATCCAGTTAGAATTATTTGGTTAGCTGTGTAGCCTTTTTGTTTTGTATGACGACCGATTATCTGCTCGGTTTTCTTATCTACATTGGGATCAGTCACAATTAGTGTCAATAATTGGCTCTCCGGTGCCCATCAAATGCAAGTATTACAGGTAGCACCTTTGGAAATGTATTTTCTTGCAACCTTTACCTTGTTAAGATCATTTACCTAGCTAATGTTTAGCATTTAGAATGTAAATGTTTGCTAGTTTTTCTGTAAACTACAACACCATTACATTATGTGAATAGCTGACTCACAAATTGAGAATTGATAGGTTACGCTACACCTTTTTGTATGCCTCCTTAAAAAGTGTTGCAGTGAGTATATTTATCAAATAGTGATACAGTGATCTAGAAAGCTAAATGGAAAGGAACCCTATATTAATGAAACATTTATGTTGCCATAGTGACCATTTTTATTTTGCTCCAATAGGAATTAAAAAATATGTTGTTGGATTGATTATTAAGACTTCATCTGATCCCGTCAACATTGAGGTATGTTTTCCTGTTGGATTATATCACAGCTGCACAAGTTTTCAAATTCAGCCTCTAAGAATCATTTACTGAGCTATTTATTTTCATTTTAGAAGGAGAAGGTTTACATTGGAAAACTCAACATGATTTTGGTCCAGGTAAGTTCCAAGAATACTTTTAAGTAGGTTAAAACTGACCATTCTTGTACACATTTCTAAATTAATTCCTGTCCAAGATTCAACCAAATGAAATGAAAGAAGTATTCTCTATTTCATATATTGAATTTTGTGCTTACCAAGATGACTAATGAACTCTCAACTATATTAAACCTCTTCCAGGCCTGTAATTGTATGAAACGTATTTGACTGTTTTGTGGTTGCACAGATACTCAAACAGGAATGGCCAAAACACTGGCCAACGTTCATCAGCGACATTGTAGGTGCAAGCAGAACCAGTGAGAGCTTGTGTCAGAACAACATGATTATTTTAAAGTTGCTGAGTGAGGAGGTCTTTGACTTCTCCAGTGGGCAGATGACCCAAGTCAAAGCAAAACATCTGAAGGACAGGTATAATTTATGGATTTATGATTTTAAATTGTTTTAAAAGTTTTTAAAAAATTGTTTGAGAGATGGAATGTATTATGATCATTTTATTGAATAACTATCTTTCTTTACAGCATGTGCAATGAGTTCTCACAGATATTCCAGTTGTGCCAGTTTGTAATGGTATGTATGAAGTGTACAATTTCTTTAAACCCCTGATTATTACTTTTGAAGTGGAAAAAAAAATGTCTAGGCGAGTACATTCTGTTTGAAGTACTCACTCCCAAATTTCACCCCCCCCCGCATATTTAACATTTGCTCACATAAATTTGGATCGTTTAGACGAGAAATTAGATAGCAGCCATGGAACGGTGCCCCAGTTGAAGAAAAGGGAGTTAGAAGGCTTTAGGAGGGAGGAGAAAAATTGGTTTCAAAAAGAAGTTTTGAAGTACTTCCTTCTCAACTTTACCAGAAAATATACTTTATTGTACCATAATTAAAATATTGAGTTTCAAGTGAAAGCTTTTGATCCTGAGCAATTTAAGTCTGAAAAAGGGTGCTGCAGTTTGCATATTTGTGGGTATTATTTTCCTTGGATCAGATTGGCTGCAAGTTTCAAGCACTGACCAGATTTTTATATATTTGGAGAAAATATATTGATCTTATTTTATGATGGGGCAAAGAGAGGGATTTTCCCTAGACTTTCTGCTTTGTTTTTCTTCCTTGCCCACCCCTCCCATTTATCCAAATATATTTGCACTTTTTTTTTGCAGGAAAACTCTCAAAATGCACCTCTTGTTCATGCAACCTTGGAAACATTACTGAGATTCCTAAACTGGATTCCTCTTGGGTATATCTTTGAGACTAAACTAATAAGCACACTGATCTATAAGGTATGTTTTCGTGTGTTTTGAGATCTTCACAGATTCTTAAATGAGAAACAACCAGCATCATTTATGTAACTTTTCTTTTCTCAGTTTCTGAATGTCCCCATGTTCAGAAATGTGACATTGAAGTGCCTGACGGAGATAGCTGGTGTCAGTGTCAGTCAGTATGAAGAACAGTTTGTTACTCTCTTCACACTAACCATGATGCAACTGAAACAGGTATTTTAACTACTCCTTTACCAATTTCAACAACCTTTTGTGAATTCAAATAATATGCAAACAAATGTCTTGTAGACATTTTTAAAACAAATTGATTGAAATAATTGATCAATTGCCAGTGTCTCAATGAGCATAATAAATATATGGAGTCCTGTAGCATAGTGGTTAGAGCACTTGCCTTGCAAGCGAGAGAACCTGGGTTCGATTTCCGGCAGGGCGAAATGTTGGGCATGTTTCCTTACTCCACGTGCATCTGTTTACCAAGTAGTAAATAGGAACCCGGTTGTTAGTCGTTTGGTCGATTGTTTTTTCGTGGGTAATACCTTCAAAAAAAAAAGATAATAATTTGGTCACTCAATCCATGACTGTTTGTGCGACACTGCTGTGCGCAATTGTCTGCTGTGTTTCGCCCACAAAACATAAGTCAATTCACTTTACAGTATATTCTGTGAAGTGCTTTGAGATGTCTAAAATATCTGATAAGGCACTATATCAAATGCAAGGATTATTATGTAAAATTATTATTTCAGCAAGTGTGATAACATTTTGATGTCCATTTTAAGAGGTGATCAATGTCTATGCGCTTGAAAAATTTACTTTTATGTTGTAAAGAATGGTAGCAAACACAGAATAGGTTAATTTGAATTTATCGGAGAAAATGCTCAATTCATTTTAAGTGATCTGAATAATTGTTTCTGTTTAGAGTTTAGGAAAGCTGAGTAGTTCTAAATAGGAATTTCTGTTGTTCAGTTGTGAAATAATTAAAAACTTAGTGCCTCTCACATAACATATCAGGAGCTTAATCTTTCCCTATGGGCTGTAAGCTTGGACTCCGCTATAATGCAAGTTTACTTATAGAATGGGTGCCATGTAAGTATGGCCAGTAATATCTAAGCCTACGGAGGAAATGCTGCTTCTGCAGTCATTGTCTACTCCATACCAACTTTGTGTAAAAGTTTACTGGCTTTGGTAAATATCTATTATATGTATAAATAAATCCATTCTAATGTTCAATGCTTCCATAAATAGTTTTATGTATAGTTTCCTTTATGTGCATATCTTTATAATACTGTTATAGAGCATACATGTGTTGCAGTTTAATAACAAAAAGTATATATGTGTAACAAGGTAATTCATAACCTGAGGAGTCTTACCCATAATCTTTTCAAAATTTATTGTTAGATGCTTCCTCTGAACACCAATATTCGGGTGGCTTACGCTAATGGAAAGGATGATGAACAGAATTTTATCCAGAACTTGAGTTTATTTCTTTGTACATTCTTGAAAGAACATGGGCAACTGATTGAAAAACGGTTGAATCTTAGAGAAACTCTCATGGAGGTAAGGAGGTTGAATATTAATACTGACAAACATTAACACTTAACTCTATGTACAGTGTATTGCACGCATCCTTATGCTGTTAAAAAGTAACTGAGATTAGGAAATTATATCCATCTTCCATAGGCTCTTCATTATATGCTACTAGTTTCTGAAGTGGAGGAAACTGAGGTATTCAAAATTTGCCTGGAATATTGGAACCATTTGGCTTCAGAACTTTACAGGGAAAGTCCATTCTCAACACCTGCGTCTCCTGTGCTTTCTGGAAGTCAACATTTTGATGTTCCTCCGAGAAGACAACTTTATTTGCCAGTATTGTCTAAGGTGACCGTTAAGAATAACTTGGCTAGTGCTAACTGTTCTTTCATTTTGTTTAAAGCGGTAGTTGAAGTATTAAATGTTGTATGTTCATTGTACAAGTAGGCATTTGATCTTAATGGGGGGTGGAGGGAGAGAAAAACAGCAGTTAAGATTTGTGTCCCCTCGAGAGATTTGTGCTGTTACCCTGCCCATTATTTAATGATCTTCTAAAGTCAGGTTCTGAAATGCACCTTTTGCAACAGCAACCTTCTCTATATACAGTGAATGTTTTCCTTTTACTGTATTATAAAAAAAATTGTAGTGTATAGATAATTGTGGTAAATCTACTATGAGTCTCAAGCCTTGAGAGGTATTAATTGTATTTCAGACTTGATATGAAGCGCTGAGGTCAAAAACATTGGGGTGTAATAAAAGATTAGATCTTCACGCAGGTTCATTGTTCCTTTTTCCTATGGCTATTCTGAGAACAAATCTTCCTGTTACTAGGATACTACACTGACTGCAGTTACCATAAGTTCATAGAAGGATGTTTCTTTCCACACAGGTTCGCCTTCTAATGGTCAGTCGTATGGCTAAACCAGAAGAAGTACTGGTGGTTGAAAATGACCAAGGAGAAGTTGTGAGAGAATTCATGAAGGATACAGATTCTATTAACTTGTACAAAAATATGAGAGAAACTCTTGGTAATTTTCTTTTCCCTCTTGTTAATAATAAACGGTCTGGAGAATTTGATCAAATGTGAAGATAATTAAGAGCTTGCCTGTGGCCCAATAAATGCTCAACAGTGCAAAATGATCTTGTAACTTGTTTCATTGACTATTTTCATAATTTTTAGTAGCTGAGATTAAATGTTTTAGACCTGTGCTCTCCTGGCAAGGACTAATTGCTTAAAAGACAATTGGCATATCTTACTCATCTTCATTTTTAAATTGTGTACAGTACAATCAAACCGTTAAAGTTTCTCCCAATTTGGCTTTCCACTTGTAGAAACTTTTGACCTTTAGTAAAGTGGTTAAGGTTTTAAAAACTTGTGGACTTTTTTTTGTAGTGTATCTTACACATTTGGACTACGCAGATACAGAACGCATTATGACCGAAAAACTTCACAACCAGGTGAATGGTACTGAGTGGTCATGGAAGAATCTTAACACCCTCTGCTGGGCTATTGGTTCAATCAGTGGAGCTATGCATGAGGAGGATGAGAAGCGATTTTTGGTCACGGTAATAAAAGTAAGTGGACCAGTAGGTGTGATGAAAGTTCATGTGTTTCAGAGATGAGGAATATCTGATTCATGTTGACACTTTATGACAGCCTCAGTAATCTAGGAAGATCTGCAGAACTCCCAAGGCACTTTTGATGACAGACCAGCTAGCCAGGCTGATCAGCAGGACTTGGAGAGGCAGACCAGTCACTGAGGGAAGGAATTCTTCCCAGTTGCCTCGTGTTAATCCTGCAAGCTGAACCAAACAATGAAATGTTTGTCAAGCAGTGCTCACAATGTGGTTAGCTGGTTAACCTCTCCCACTACCCAGTATTGGAATCTAGTAATTTTGTTTATCATTATTGAAGCATCTTGTATACTTACAATTGTGCCTGCATTTCATTTGCAGTGCAATAATGCCTGCAGTAAATCTATGCAACAAAATGGCATGTGTACTATTTTTGTGTAACATTCAGAGTGGAATTCCTTTTGCATCATGAGGTCTACTTTCCTGTGAGCCACTGGTATGTTTAAAAATGCAACAGCTGTCTAGTTATGGTCATCAGCTGTGGTTATAGTCTTATGACTTCCACTAAGATTTCTAAAGGGTTATGTAGAGTCAGTATTACCAACAATTGCTGCCACCTCACAGCTGACCCACAAAATCTATATAGCCCACAGTATACTTAACTGCAAGTAAAATATAAGTATTTTATTTTGAACGTTCAGCTTGTGGGAATTTATTGCAAGCGTTCAACCATATGGAAAGCTTTTATTCCCTATATGGTTGTCACAGATTTTTCTCCAAAATTTGTCTCAGCAGAAGAAGTTGAAACAATTTTTCGTCCTAAGTTTTTTAATATGATCTATTGTGTGTTTTTATTCCACAGGATTTATTGGGACTTTGTGAACAGAAGAGAGGCAAAGACAACAAAGCCATTATTGCTTCAAATATCATGTATATCGTGGGGCAGTATCCTCGTTTCTTGAGAGCCCATTGGAAATTTTTAAAGACTGTGGTTAACAAATTATTTGAATTTATGCATGGTACGTAGAGCTAGATTTGAATCTTAACTAATGTATTTCAATTTTTCAAGTTATTTTCTCTGTTTAGAGTTTGCTAGTAGGCAGAATTCTTCAAATCTGGATATCCAGAACCCAACTGATTTTTTTAAAAAATCCAGCTGATAACAATTATTTAAAAAGTGTTTTTCAAGTTGAGAGGACGTCTCGATGCTTGACACTGTTCACTGTGTGAAACGAAAGAACCGACATGTTTAAAGAACGTTTCTCAATCAAGGAGTTAAGCGATCCAAAATTAAACCTTCATTCATCAAGAGCCAGAATAGTCTTCAAACCTCTAAAATAATCCTTTGCAATATGCTGAGTGAAATCTCTATTTCCTTAAAAAAAAACTTTATGCAATCCTCTTCCAAAATAAAAATGTGTTCTACTGTTGAAGTGAAGAAAGTTTTGCAAATTTTGTTTTCTACAAGGTAAAATAGTTGTAGTCCTTGGGTCGTGTAACATTGTTACTCGAGAAACAGTGCTTTGAGCACTTATTGATTAACTTTACCCCTTTCCACAAACTTGCTTATGGCGCAGGCGCATTTTGATTTTTTTATTTGGAGTATAATATGGGTTTGGCATGACATTATCACTGGATATTTTTACTTCCTGGTGCTTCACATGGAACTAGTAAAATCTCGCCAATCTTTGGAAGTGGCAAGGTGCTGATGATGTTGCAATTGGTAGGGCGGGGGAGGGAAAGAGAGAACTTGTATGAACCCATGTTTTTACTAAATGTGAGCTTATTGCAGTGGACCCCCCGCACTGCATTGAAGTGTAAATCTGCGAATTCTGACCTGTAGTTTGAACCCACAAACTTCTGACTTGTAGGCAAGAGTGCTCCCAGCTGAGCCAGGCTAGCAACTGTTTTGCACTTTCCAATAAGAAAAATGGTTTCAATCTTCCAATTCTCCCAGCAGGGAAAATAGTGATGTTGGTAGATGTAAATGGATGAGAAATATAGGAATTTTGCAAAGCTGTCAATTCAGATTTGACAATGATTTTAATGTTTCATTTAAATGTATAATTGTGAAAGGCTGACTATAAAATGTAGAACCTTCTGTTGATGGTGCTGATTTTTTAAGGTGTGCATCTTCTACACCCATTTAAAAATCTTTATTCAATGAATGCCCAATACTTCTAGTCTTCACTGAAGCAACAATGTTAAAATTATGAAACTTTAAAGCTCAGTTACATGTCCTAGCATAAAGTTTATTTTTCAGCATTATTTATTACAAATGAGCTCACAAATCTAATATATTTTATGTTTAACAGAAACTCATGATGGTGTTCAAGATATGGCTTGTGATACGTTTATTAAGATTGCCCAGAAATGTCGTAGGCACTTTGTTCAGGTTCAAGTTGGAGAAGTAATGCCATTCATTGATGAGATCTTGAATAATATCAATACCATCATTTGTGATCTTCAACCACAGCAGGTAGGATCCCAGTCATTGTGGGTATTTGTAGACACTGGTGGATCATGGCATCAGTAAACGTATTTCATCTGGTCATGATATCCATTTAGGATGCAATAACATTGCGATACGGAATGCCATTTATGGGACTTTCCCCATAATGTCATCTAAGGAGAGAACAACCAACTAGTATCAAGTTTGTTTTCCCCCCGAGATTAGGTTTGAAATGTTCAGGTGATTTTGTTATGTTTGGTTTCCTACTGGTCGTGTATGGTGGTTGCAATCCTGACATCCCATATGATAATGGCTCTCCCAAAATCCCAGGATTGCAACCTCAAGTTGTATATAATAGCACGGTTTATTAGAGGATCCAGGCATTGTCAAAAATAAATATCTATCCAGCTACAAGAAGGCCAAATTCATCTTGTCAGGGCATTGCATCCATTACTCTGCCTTGAGGTATTACAGATCCTGGAAGATTGGATTTAAGAGTGCTGATATTCCATTTGGCATGATGGGTGAGGTCTTCAGGCACATCTAGTACTCATCAAATGTAATATTCCTTTGGAATATTCTCCAAAGGAAAAGGGGCAAGAAAGTCATTTAAAGCCTGCATGTAATGATTTGAGCAGTTACTGACATCTGCAATCGAGACAGGCTGGAATATGGTTGTCTTTGAGTAAGCAGTGCTCCCTTTTTGGTTCTGTTCTTGATTGTCTTGCTTGAAAGTTTGAGATCTGAAAGTAAGAATTGACCAGCTTCAAACTCTACTGTATGTCAAACCATTGGAAAAATTTCCCTTTGCTATCGTGTTTCCTTAAAAGCATTGGGAAAGAATAATCCTTGAAATTCCACTTTTTTTCTAAACACAAGTTTGTCTAAAATTCCTGATTTGGGGATTTCACTTGTTTGCTGCATCAGCTTCAGCACAGGGGATTAGCAAGGTCTTGCTCTGGTTGTCATCCAAGTTTATTTCATTTGATATCTTGATTGAACAGTTTGCAGGTCACACTGGCTTCTTTACCAACTTTGATTTACAATTTGCACCTATAAGCTCTTTTCACGTCCGGAGGACATCCCAAAGTGCTTGCCTCCAACAAGAATAGGTTATATTCATTCTTTTCAATTTGTCCTTGTAGCTAGGATATTCATTCAATGCTTAACTGTCTTCATGCATAGAATGAGTTGCAGCCTCCACGTCCTGCACACCTCTCAATGTGAACTGAGTGTGCAAGAAGCAAGTGTTGGGGTCAGAACAAACCCATGCTGAATGAGTAACGTTTAATTAAAATAAGACGCTGGCTAGGTGGGTGATATCTCCAGTTATCAAGGGATCGCGTATTTAAAAAATGAAGAGCATACAAGGTCGATAATCTATATCTTGAGTGATGTGAGCAGGTTTGAAGGTTGTGTTGCAGTGGTGAAGCAATTTTATTTTCTTGTCGTTTTCTACAACTTCACCCATCAGTAATTTTTTAAAAATTTGTCGATAGGTTCACACGTTTTATGAAGCAGTTGGTTACATGATAGGTGCTCAAACTGACCAAACAGTACAGGAACATCTAATAGAAAAATATATGATGCTACCAAACCAGGTCTGGGACAGTATAATTCAACAGGCAACTAAAGTAAGTGACTTGATTTATCTTTTATACTTTTAAAATGTTGAAGCGTCTCAAAGGGCTTCAAACGCTCAAGGGAAGTGCCTTTGTATTTATTGACAATACAGCAGCCAATTTGTGTACAACAACTTGCATTTATATAATAACTTTCACCCAGGTAGCGTCTTAGAGCGCTTAACAACAGCGTGGACTGACGCTGAGCCCAAAAGGGAGGCAGGTCAGCAAAGGCAAGATTGAAGAGGAAAGCCTTCAGGTGTGATTTGAAAATCGGCAAAGAGGGAGCAAGGTTTTGAGGCAAATAGTTGCAAAGGTTAGGGCATGGTGGCAGCCAATTGTGGAGCAGAGGAGATGAGGGACATGCAGAAGACCCAATCCACTTGATGGTAGATTAGAAGAGTGGGAGAGATAGGGAGGTAGATTAGCAAGAGGTTTGGAGAGATAGGGAGGTGCCAGGGTGTGAAGAGATTTTAAAGCAAGAGTGAGGATCTTGAAATAGATCAGTTCTGCCTCAGGGAGACATTGAAGCCTGGCAAGAAGCAAGTCCCAGAAATAGGCATGAAGTTAATGGTCTATTTATCTAGAGAATAAATTGTCTGGATCCTGGAAAAACTCCCATTTCTTTTTGAATCGTGTTATGGCAACTTTTAGCGTCTAACTGAACAGCTCTGATGTATTTCTGAAGTATATTTATTCCATAACTAACCGGGTAATTTACGTGTTTTTTTTACAAGAGCGTCTTAACACTTGTTACCCACGGTTGGTATCTGTTTTGAGACGTTTTTCAAAATTATGATTTCTAAAAAAAAAGAACCTTGATGAGGGAATGATTTTTGTTTTCTCTCACCTTTCTTCCCCTCTACAAAAAGAATGTGGACATTCTTAAGGATGCTGAAACAGTAAAACAGCTTGGCAGTATCTTGAAAACAAATGTTCGAGCCTGCAAAGCAGTTGGTCACCCATTTGTTATTCAACTTGGACGAATCTATCTCGATATGTTGAATGTATATAAGTGCCTCAGTGAAAATATTTCAGCAGCAATTCAGACAAATGGTTAGTTTATTTTGTGGATATGTTTATTATATATATGATATTGCTATAAAATAAATTGCTACTGCAATATGCATAAGATAATAGAAAATGCGACTTTCTTGTGAAACTGCTGTGCTTGTAATTAATAGAACGTTAATTGTTTAAATTGAACTAAACTTATTTTTGTACACATTGTACATTTAACGTACAGTGGCAGGAAATGTGTCCACTTGAAAATTGCAGTCTTTAGCAAAACAGTCATGTTTGCTTAGAAATGTTATTGACACCAGATGTTATCGCAGGTGATATGGTTACAAAGCAGCCTCTGATCAGAAGTATGCGGACTGTTAAGAGGGAAACTCTGAAGCTAATTTCTGGTTGGGTGAGCAGGTCCAATGATCCACAAATGGTGAGTGAGTGAACTATAGTGACACGTGGTCAAAAGACATTTATTCCTTATAAACCTACTGAATGTTTTTGTTTCCACTGTATTAAGATGTACTAGATGGTCTTCATTTTGATGTATTACAGTATTGGGGAGGATAATGATTTGGATATGGGGGTTCTGTGCTGGGTCCCATCCTGTGTTTTTTGAATGCCCGCAGGCCACTGCTGGTCCGTGGCCACAGCTTGGGCACCACTGGTTTGGACTGTTTACACCTGGAATACTAGGTTCCGCTTTGGTTGCAGCATAAGGGATTGCTCAGGCCTTAAAAGTACTATGGAGGAAACGATCAGGCTATTTCACTATTTAAGAGGGGTGAGCTATGAGGAACAATTGAATAGACTCCAGATTTTTTTTAATAAGTAAATAAACAAGGTTATTAGAAGTATACAAGTTTATTATCAGGATAGATAAAATAAACAGAACAATGTTTTCAGGTATCCCAAATGGGGTAGAGGTATTGCACATTTCAATGTGCAGTCAGGTCTATGTTGGATTCAGGTCTATGTTGAGGTGTTATGTTGGTTTCAGCACTGTGCCATCTACTTGGTGACGGTAGTGCAACTTAGTAGTTATTACTTTGATTTGAATCTAAATCAAACCCTTTCATTAAAAGTGCTTTTTCGAAATTGACCCTGTATCTTGTGATGTAACTAGTTTTGTTACTGGTTACTAGTAACCAGTTTTGTTACTAGTAGGCTCCATTTTCACTTTTCCTATTTTTTAAAAACTATGGTGAAATGGTAAACCTAAACCTGCTTATTTTTGTTTAGTAGGACATCTTAACATGATTTAAAAAGCTCAGGAAATAGATTTCATCAATTGATCACTTCCCAATCTTGGTTGGCAGAGGTGGAAGGATTAAGTGAAGGCAAGATGTTTCCCAGAGGGAGGGAGGGCAAAATTAGTGACCAGGTCGAGCTACATTTCTCATATACCAACTAGCAAGTGATTTAAAGAGCAGCATTGACGAGAGGCAGGTCTGAGCACTTGCCGTACCTCTTAATGGAAGAATGCTGCATGGCACAGGTGAGGGCCCCAAAGAATAGTAGAATGAATTTCTTTATCTTTCTCCTTTCTCACCCCATGTAAGCATGAATATTCTAATTATGGTTTTAAAAAATCATATTGTTATACCAACTAACATATTTGAATAGAAAAATAACTTCATACAATTTCGGTTGTTTTATAGGTAGGGGAAAACTTTGTTCCTCCATTGCTTGATGCAGTGCTTATTGACTACCAGAGGAATGTACCAGCTGCTAGAGAACCAGAAGTGCTCAGCACCATGGCAACTATTGTGAATAAACTGGGTGGACACATCACATCTGAAATCCCTCAGATATTTGATGCCGTCTTCGAATGCACTTTAAATATGATCAACAAGGTGAGATTCTATGACTATTGGATGATTTTGTTCTATAGTTTACTCTTCACTAGGGATGTGAGAAATGTTAATGAATTACTAAGAATGTCTGGGCTATCCAGGTCAGTGAGTGCATGAAGAACAGATTCCATATTAATGAAGGGAAAGAAACTTGGAGCTGATTTTAGCTGTAATGTCTAATCTCCAGTTAACCTGGGCAGATTACTTTGGTGTAAACTGGTACACGTAAATACAGATTTGCCTACAAATACAATAGCTACACTTTACAGTAATTCTATAGTTCAGAATATTAAGTTTGACAGACTGTTTAGATGCTTGTCAAGCTTCCTATTATGCGGTAATTTGCACTCCAAATAGAGCATTGGAGCTCCACCAAACTATCATACCATGCCAAAGAGCAATTGCATTGAGTTCGCTTCCATTATCCCTCACATCTTGACTTTGCATCTCACTAATGGATTATTGCCAAGTGGAAATCAAGTCATAAACTGTAGAGGGAAGATATCCTAATAGCCAGTAATAAAGTATTTATGTAGGCATGGAGGAAGCCGTCTGGGTCAAGGATGGCCATTCAACTTTTGTACTGTCATGGGAAATGAGTACACATTTCAATAGTTGTTAATATCTTCAGTTTTTTGTGAAATGGATATGAAATCACTACTCTCCTTTAGCTGTGCATTACCTCTAGCTGAACAGATGGGCAAGGCAAAATTGCTCCCCAGCTTCCATCATTGTCATTTTAAATTTGCTATAAAATAGTAAGAGTTGCACGTGAATGGGTGCCTTTTGATCTTTCCCATTTGGCAGTCTAGCTAAGCCCTAAAAGGAGTTTAGTGTGGCAATCATACTCTATTAATTTTAACACTCCATTAATGTTGAAACCTTTACTTGTTTTTTCTTTCAATTTCAGGACTTCGAGGAATATCCTGAACACAGAACAAATTTCTTCCTACTTTTACAAGCTGTAAATTCTCACTGCTTTCCTGCTTTTCTAGCAATTCCTCCAGCACAATTCAAATTGGTTTTAGATTCTATAATCTGGGCTTTTAAGCACACCATGAGAAATGTTGCTGATACAGGTTCGTTCATGATTTTGTACCTTGTAAATTCAACTAAAAAAATTAAAATTGATTTTATTTTAATTTTTCTGCAACTTTCTAAAAACTGTTTTTACAACAGGTCTGCAGATACTTTACACGCTTCTCCAAAATGTTGCTCAGGAAGAAGCGGCTGCCCAGAGTTTCTACCAAACATATTTTTGTGATGTTCTACAGCATATATTTTCTGTAGTCACAGATACATCCCACACTGCTGGTAAGAACTGAACACAAGCAACAAAACAACCTTTTGATTTGTTCTTTATGCAAATAAGTCTTCAGAATGTATCAAAGCAAAGAAATGCCCTTCAGGGTGATTTGTCTGTCTTCTGTGCAGTGAAGGATTTGTAGGTTGTAAAATTGTGCTAAGTTCATATTGGTCAGGAAATTGCTGAATAATTTTAAATGCAATACATCTTCTATGGAACAACTGAGGTAAAATTAAACTTGGTAAGGAACCTCAAATAGTTAAAAGTAGAATGTTGTATAATTGTTTGTAATGTGTACCTTTTAATCATTCTTGTTGGAGGTGGGAGCAATATTTTGAAAAAGTCATTTACTGCTTTTCATATATTTCAGAGCATAAATATTGAGTAATTTTGGTCCTATCAAAATTACAGTATTCTATATAGCTCCCCCAACTTCTGTAGTATCCAAACTTGGCTGTAAGGCCCTCGGAGCATTATTGAGTTCCATCTATTCCAGGAATAGTTTTTGAGCCCTGCAAAGTACCTCTAATTTGCATTTTACAGAACTTGCTATAATTCATGTGCTAGACTTTGTAATGGCAGTACCTTCAATCCTGCATCTAGAGAAATTTATATGATAATTTGTTTGGAAATATTCTTTATTCTCTTTTGTAGGGTTGACAATGCATGCATCAATACTTGCATACATGTTTAACTTGGTTGAGGAAGGAAAAATAACAGTACCTCTGAACCCAACAAATCCGATGACTAATCAGGTGTTTATTCAAGATTATGTGGCGAATCTGTTGAAGTCTGCATTTCCACATCTACAAGAGTGAGTTCATATTTATGTAAAATACAGTGCTGGGTTTTATCTATATCAATTGCTCTTCACTTTATGACAAACTTTTTCTATTTTCAGGGCACAAGTCAAGTTATTTGTAACAGGACTTTTCAGTCTCAATCAGGACATTGCAGCATTCAAAGAACATCTGAGAGATTTTCTTGTACAAATCAAGGTAAAGACAACTGGAGAAACAAATTAAACAATTCATAAAGACAAAAGGAAATTGAGAAAAGGCTGTGATACTTGTCACTGTCTCAATAGAAGATTGGTTAGAACTAGCCAAATAGAATTTTGTATGGTGACCCATTTACTGATTTTATAAAATACAGTGGGATGGGTTCTAGTTGGTGCAGATAACTGGCTCTACTGTATTGTTATCATGAGTGCAAGTCACTGGGGAGCAAGAGGATCTTGAAATGATGGCTTATGAAGCAGGAAAGTGCTCTTATCCCATTTAATTGTAAGTATTGGCAAACTTAAAGTGCATCATGCCCTTTATTATTTGTGTTCTGCAGGAGTTTGCTGGTGAAGACAGTGCTGATTTGTTCTTGGAAGAAAGGGAGGCTGCTCTACGTCAAGCCCAAGAGGAAAAGCATAAACTTCAGATGTCTGTTCCTGGTATTCTTAACCCACATGAAATTCCTGAGGAGATGTGTGATTGAGAAAAAACAAACTGTGCTATGTTCTTTCTGCTGAGCAGCAATCTATGCTGCTTTGCAGAAGATAATTGCACATTGGTGTGTGTTGACCAAAAATAATGCCAATATGTATATTAAATCCTTTGTCACCTAGTGACAGTGGCTCTTTTTACTTAGTATGCAATTTGTATGGAAGTTTCTTGTGTAATAACATTTTCCATTGTTATAAATTAAAGTTTGTTTGGTCATCTTTGTTTAAATTTGCATGCAGTTGTATGAATTAAATTTTTTTAAGATCACTTGTGCCCAATTTTATGGTTGGAAGGGGGAGCTAAAAAAAGTGGACTTTGCTTGCAAAGTGTACAAAATATAGGAATTATTTTCGGTAATTGATCAACTTGATCACCAATCTCTTAAATTAGGTGTGTGTTACTTTGTTGTAGCATAGCCTTTATTGCAGCCTAGAAAGGAAAGTGGTCTGTGAAGAATCTGTTGAACAGGTAGCATGTCAGGCACGTCTAAAGTGCTGCTTTGTCAAATGTATCCATGGGTAGTTGGAAGAATGGTAATGCTTGACTGAATTAATGCAATACTAGCCAGATGATAGGTTTGCAGCAAGATCATGTGCATATCATCCCAGTGTAAAGCATTTTGAATGACTTGGGAACACAGTACACTTGGTTATTTTTTACTATTTTTTTGTGTATGTGCTGTCGCTTTGCCGACAACAGCTTTTTGTTTTCCTCAATGAGGAGTGTTGCTCATTTGTGAGCCTTCATCGATTCTAAGTGAAAGTGGTTAAATATTTATCGAGTTAGCATAGGCTGCATCTTTATAAACAGCTCATGAAAATACTGATGGCTTTTGAGATGACTTGTACTAATTTACATTGTTTACCATGCTGTAGTGCTTTAAGAACACTACTTAAGAGCAAAATAAATTTGGTTTACATTTAAGATGTTTCTTTTGACTGGTTTCTTGTTAACTTAGTCACATTAACGCTGCTTCAGAATTTTAGAGGATTGTTTGAATTGGAAACTTCATTCAGGAGAGTATTTTATGTTTAAAGTACTCTTCCTAGCAAGTGTTAAAAATCTATTTATAAAAAATCTTTTAAAATCCTTGGAGCAGCTCTGGATCCGTTTCATCAGGTGCTTGGCTGCTCTTTATACAGTACTGTTTCACCCACAAAATATACAGTAAATTCACTTTATAGTATGTTAAGTGAAGGGCTTTGAGACGTCTCGAAGATGTGATAAGGGGCTATATTGAATGCAAGGATTATTATTCCTGGCAGAATTGGGCACATTCTCTGGGTGTGAAGACCGCTGTTTGGACCAGCCTAACAGCTTATCAGCCCAATCCCAGGAAAGCCCACTGTTGAGGATTATTATATAAGTAGATCTATTTGGGATGGCTGATGACATTTCCAGCAAGATGAAAGGTCCATGCTGAGTCCAATGCTACAATTTCGTTCAATTTTAACTATGTAGAAACAAATAATTTATCTCTGGTTAGGGTTAGTGATAATTGATTGGTGGTAAGTATACAGAACATACAGTAAGTAAAACATTTTCTTGCCAGAAATTAGCCCATATATAAACTTAATTTTAAAATCTAAGTAAACAAAAAAAATCGTCAAAAGAAAACTCATCTTCAAAAAAAAACAGTTGAGAACAAAATCCTGTGAAGCTCTTTGAGATGACGAGATAAAGTGCTGCATTAAACACCAGGATTATTATTAGGGATTAGAAATGCTTTATTTGGAAATCATATTTTGGATTTGCACAATATTATTACAAAGGAGGAAATCCTGATGAAAATGCATATGTAAAATGAAGTATTAATTATCTTTACTTCAGTTTTAATTTATTATTAGTTTAGGCAACCTGAGTTAATCCAGGAATTTTTTTTGGCACTGTCACAGCAGGAACTGTTCTCCAATTTGCTTGAAATGTTATCCTATTCCTGAACAAGGGTGTGGGAAACCGCCTGTGCCCACATTTCTGCTGCTCTGCAACAGGCTGTTAAGACCCGTGCTGGTGTAACTGAATGACTTGTGCTGGGATGGCTCAGACTTTTATCTTGAAGATGTCAAAGAACCTGGAATTCATTCAGTATATTTCCACTATGATGTAAATGAGATCAGTAAGAAACTCACAGAGCGTGATGGTCACTAGTAAATTTACTGACCTTGGTAGGGAGCTTGATTCTCTGCTGGAATGCTATGGGTGGGAGATCAAATTGCAACCATTGAATAATTCCCCATCGTGAACCCCTTCATGGGAGGAGCAAAGTAAGCATTTGGAGGATAAAGAAACATTTTTTAAAAAAGGAAAAGATAGTTGCAAGTCCTCCTCATGTAGTTAATAGGTTGGAATTCCAGATGGCGCTACTGTCTTTTTTGACAAATTGGACCAAATTCAACTTCAGACAGACAGAAACTGGTCTTTACCAGTTTGTTGTATGAGAAGATACAAAAGCTGGTAAAATGAGTGCCGTACCTTATATGTACCACTTTTGGTGGAAATGATGTATAATAAGTCAGGGATATCACTCCCATGGTTTTCTGTGGCCAAACGTACCTAACGAGTTTCCAGCTATGAGTTGAAGGTGCAAAATATAAATTTTGTTTTTGCTTTTCTCCCTAGTAGGGAGAAAGTAATGTTAAACTTGTATAAAATCCGCTTAAACTATATTTGTAGTACCATGTACAGTGGTCACCGCATTACTGTATTTGGATCTACTCACCTCCACCTTGATGTCCTGGCAAATTGTCTCTCTTGACATCAAGCCCTGGACGAGAGCCAACTTCCTTCAGCTCAATGTTGGCAAGACAGAGTCCCTCCGGAGCACCTCCTCACCTCAGCCGCTGACACTATCACCATTCATAGCTGCACTCTTCATCTCACCGAGCCAATCCGAAAGTTTGGTGTCCTTTTCAACCCTCAGCTATCCTTCAAACCTCACATTTGCGTTGTGACCCAAACCGCCTTTCTACACCTCCGCAACATTGCCCGCCACTGCCTCTCACGCAGGCCGCTGAGATCCTGATCCACGCTTTTATTACGTCCCGGCTTCACTAGACCAACTGTCTGCTCACTGGACATTCCTCCACAAGCTGCAGATTATTCAGAACTCTGCAGCTCTTGTCCTCTCCTGCACCAGGCTCTGGCAACCCATCACCCCCGTTCTTGCCCAGTTTCACTGGCTCCCCATTCCTCAGAGGATCGAGTACAAAATCCTCGTTCTTCTCCGACTCATAACTTCTATTTCTCCGACCTCATAAACCCATATCAGCCTGTCCGCTGCCTCAGCTCGGTGGACACTGGCCTCCTTCAGGTCTCCCGCACTTCCCGCCCCACCATTGGCAATCGGGCATTAAGCATATCTGCTCCGACACTCAGGAATTCTATCCCACAATCCCTCCCTTCCGCCTCACCCCCTCGTGCCTCCTTCAAGTCCTATCTGAAGACCATGTCTTCGGCCACCCTCCCACCCCAACTACACAAATGTAATTTGTTGTTGTACTCTATCCTCTCTCTAATGCTACACTATCCTGTAATATATTTGGTCACATTTTATAGTAGATTGTAGCACTGGAGAGAGGATAGAGTAGATTTACAAGGATGTTACCACGGATAATAATAATAATAATCCTTGCATTTGATATGGCGCCTTATCACATCTTAGAGATGTCTCAAAATGCTTCACAGAATACAGTATAAAGTGAATTAACTATCTTGTGGGTGAAAATGAGTGGATACAGCTATCAAGAAAGATTGGACAGGTTGCAGCTTTTCTCCGGAATTGAGAACATTAAGAGGGGACCTGATAAAGGTGTGTAAAAATGTGAAGGGTGGATGATAAGGAGAATGTTGATAGGAAGTTTCCATCAAAAAAAAGTCAAAATGTAAAAATTGCAATAATGGCCCACTAATTCAACTGCAAGATTGCTACAAGTGACTGCCACACTGAGGCTGTAGTGGATAGCGCTTCAGCTTATTTGCTGATTTGAATCCTGGTCTGTGCTGAGGGTTGCAGTGAGGAAGCTAAATTAACCCTAGCCTTTGCAAGGTTAGGGAAGAACTAACCAGGACTCCTGTAACTGAGCCCTCTTTGGCACCCACTACTGTGTGTGCGTGTGGAGCTTGGTGGGGAGAGGCAAGTCTTGGCGAGGGCACCCTCTACAGGCTCACTATCCAGGCTCACATATGAGCAATGGTCACTTGAGCAGTGTACTAGAGGGCAACCGGTACAGATAGAATTGCAACCCTGCAAAATGAGGCCAGACCAGGAGCAGAGAGGCATTTGCCAATTGAGGAGAACATTTTTAAAAATTGGACACAAATTTTTTAGTGTAACAAGAACTTGCATTTATATAGCATCCTTCATGCTGGGCAGCATCTTGGAGTGTTTAACAGTAATGGAGCCTGACCCCGAACCGGGGGAGGAAGGAGATAATTGTGCTATGTGCTATGTTTCCCCCCTGCTCGGGTCCTGACCCAACTGTCCAGCGCCTTGGGACGTCCTCCCGACGTGAAAGGCCCTCTATAAATGAAATCTTGTTGTTGTTTGCTGTACAAGTCAAATGTGGGTCCATAGGCCACCTGCGTCATAAGTGAACCAATGTTATCAGGGGGCATCTTATAACCGTGTTCTACTGTATGTGGAGATCTCCTTAGTTTGATTTGGTGAATCTTAAGCAGGGTAACTATACATGCTGACCAAAAAGAGGCAATCCTACCAAAAAGAATAGACTCAACAACACTGAAAGTGTGATGAAAAAAGTCTAAAAACTGGCTTTAAAGGTGGCAGGGGAGAGGCAAGGGACAGTGGATGGAGGAGCAGATTGAGTGGGGCAAACGTGAGTGGCGGGTGCTGGAAAAGATGCGAGAGACATAGGCACCACTCTACCTCTTGTATACTTTTTATGTTGTCCTGGCTGACAAGCCCCCCCCAATTAAAAAATAGTCATTCACTTCATAGCTGTTTGTGAACTTTGCTGTGTACAATAAGCTATCACATTTGCCCAGAAAACACACAATCACTGCACTTTACAATATATCCTGTGAAGTGCTTTGAGACGTCCTCCTGACAGGAAAGATGCTGTAACCAATACAAGGATTATTATACATAAACACAGAAGTCGCTGGGAACACCCAGCAGGTCAGGCAGCATCCATAAATGAGTTAACGTTTTCACGCCTATGATCTTTTGCTGGAACTGGATTATTATTTGTTATTATTTTAGATTAAAAAAATGCTACAAGTTCAAATCCCAGTCAGTCAAAATATGGACCGTAGTTTTATTAGTTATTGGCGATTTCGAAATCATTTGCATGTTCTGTTGCTGTAGAGGACAAATTGATAACATTTATTTTTGCCGGGCTTGAGCAGCATCTCTTTCTCGCTTGCAACAGAGTGATTGTAGACGGTTAAGAAGTATATTTATTTTTCCATTCACGGGAGTCTAGTGGAATTTTCCAGAAACGTATTTTTTCCAAATTAGCCTTGGGAGATTTTGGATTTTCTTGGGTTTTTTTTTTTTTGCCTCCCCTGGAAGTGCCCTGCGCAAGAGTGGCTGGCAACGGGGGAGAATAATAATAATAATAATCCTTGCATTTGATATAGCGCTTTTCACGTCGGGAGGACGTCCCAAAGCGCTTCACAGAACACACTGTAAAGTGAATTGACTGTATATTTGTGGGAGAATGCGGCAGCCAATTGCGCACAGCAATGTCCCACAAACAGTCGTAGATTGAAAATGACCAATTTATTATTGTTTTGGTTTTGGAGGGATTATTATTAGGCTCTGTGTGGAGTAAGGAAACTTGCCCAAGGTTTCGCCCTCTGCCTGGAATTGAACTCAGGTCTCTCACTTGCAAAGCGAGTGCTCTAACCACTGAGCTACAGGACTCCAGTGTAGTTAGGAAGGGAGAAAGGCAGAGGGAGAG